AAAGGCGCGGGATTACAGGCTGAGCCACCGAGCCCGGCTGAGAGCTCAGTTTTATAGAGCGGCACTTGAGGGTCAGGGAGGTACAGTCACTTGTGCAAGGTCACCTGCTGAATTCAAACCCTCGTCTTCTGAATCCAAAGTCCCTGGTCCTAACTACTATACATGCTAGCCCTGAAGCTGGTATGTGAATAGCATGCTTGCGGCTGTGCCTGGATTCTGTTCCGGGGCCTGGGTGCCACTAGAAGGGCAGCTGCTCATGCCTGCCGGCTCTCTCCCTTGCTGCTGCCCTCTTATGGGGGGGGCATGACTTGCAAGATCTGAGTTGTGAGGCCTACCTGTTGTCGTGCACTGAGGAAAGAGTATCCTGATGTGGAGGATGCTAATGATATCCATCAACCAACCAATCAACCCCTGAGGAGGCAGGCAACCTGTCAAGTGGGATGGAAACTCAGGGCCCAGTCGTGGGGCCCCCAGCTGCTTGGATGGCACTGTGCAGGAGTCAGTCTCTGAGGCCGCTGTGTGGGCTACTTTGATGCCCTGGGGAAGATTCTGCTTAAGGCGGTGCTGTCTGTGTGGGTTGAGGTACAGAGAAAGATAAGGGAGGAGCATGTGGGCTTTTCTTATAACATGGAGACTGACATCCCACTAACCACTGACTTAAGGGGCAGGCTACTCCCTGGAGCAGAGAGGGGTCCCGACTGGGGGACTGCTGTGGAGCTGACTCCTCAGCTTTGCTGCCCTTTGCAGGGTAAAGTGCTCGTCGCAGCAGCTTGGGGCAGCCTGCTTGCTGCAGAGCTGGCTAGGGCCTCAGCCATCAGACTCATCGAAGACTGGGCTCCAGGACTATATAGTGGGTGAGCCTGAGGGGGCAAAACAGAAAGGCCGAGCATCCCAAAGAGCTCAGGTCCTCTCCCACTCATTCTCTTCCCCTTTAGCCAGCATTGTCTATGCCTCAGTGTCCTTAGTTGTCCCAGGGAAGAAAACCCTATTCTCTCCAACCAGATAGGCATGATGGGCAGATAGAGTAACTTTCTGGAGCAGGAGGTGCTGGACCAATGTCAGAGTCGCCAGCTGCAATCACCCCAGCCCCAGCCTCCACCCTCACAAGTCCTCTCTGACATTTACAGTCTTGTTTCATCCCTGTGCCCTCCAGGCTGCGCCCAGCTGTCCTCAGCAACCTCAAGCCTACATGGGTGACTCCCTTCTCTATCTCCCATGAGCAGCCAGCAGTCGGAACCCCAGTGTCCCCTTCAGTAGTTTCATGTACACTGATGTCATTGTCTCTGTGTGGCAGGAATCCTATGGGGGAGGGCCATCCCTGAGTCACCTCTGCATCAGGTCAGGGGAGGGTATCTAGGGGCCAAGGGGATGCTGCCCTTGGGACACTGAAGACAGAGCAACTGGCTCTTGAATGTAGCACTCACTGCCTCCTCACTCTGCCCCAGCAATACCAGCAATGCCTTGAGAAGCAGCTCAGGGCAGCAGTTCTCAGAGTCTTTCTCACCAAGCTGTCTTCTGACTTTTGCCCCCATAGATATCAGCATACAGTTCATGTCTGTGGCCTTAAGAAGGATCTGAGAAGCCTCCCTTATGGAGACCTGACTGAGGTGAGTAGTGCTGGGACCCCAAGTCCATGAAAGCTGCATGTAGCCCACTTGCCCAGGGCCAAAGGGCTAATGCTAGCAGGTCCCTGCTCCATGTCCAGATGCCCCAGAGGACAGAATGGTCACAGGATATGTGGGCAAAGTTCAGGTTCCACCCATCCTGAATTCCCCACTTGAGTCTCTACTTCCCGGACATCACAGTGGATGTGGCACCAAGCCCACAGGTATCTGTCACAGGGTGATCACTTCCTGGGGTTACTTCCAATCTGCCTGTCATCTCAGGAGAGGTTTCTAGTGGAAACTGCTTCCTTGCTTGAGGTCCAGCTCTGTCCCCCAGAGCAGGGGCCCAGGAGTGTTGCATGTGGCTGGCATCTCCAGGGCCCCTTCCTTCTTCAATGGCTCTGCCCAGGGTAGGAGTGTAGGGGTCACCTCCAAACAGTTCCTCTTAGGGTGCTGAACCTTCCATCACAAGTGACCCAGGGAGTCACCTTGACATCTTCCTGTGTCCCCATGCCTCTTATGCCCTCTGCATAGTCTTCCCCACCTTGCTTGGGAGCCCCAGAGGAGATTAGAAGGCCAAAGCTTTCTATGCTGGTTCTTTTCGTCTGCCTGTGTCAAGAACGTGACCCCTACAGTCTTCCCGGCCTGCATTCGAGACCTCCCGCACTACAGCCCTGGCCACCCTCCAGGCTTCTGCCTGTCACTACTTGCCCACCAAGTGTCCATGTACCTCCAAGCATCTAAGTCTGCTCCTGCTGTTGTCACTGCTCTTTGGGTTCTAGCCCCAAATTCATCTCCTGGAGCAAGGCTTTCCAGAGTCCCACAGTCTAAAGTGCTCAGTTTAGGCCTCTCAGTGGGCACTTGTTAAATTCTGGTTTGTGCCATTATTCTGTGTGTAATGAACTCCCCTGCTAGCCTGTGACTAAGACTTCTCTTCCCTCTCTTGCTCAGCTTCATGTATCCACTCCTGTACCCAGCTCGATGCCTGGCTGAATATATGGGGGTTCACTCTGGGTTTGGTTGGATAGAATCACCTGGGGTAAATAACTAGGCTTTTCATTCTTTGAGAAAATATTGCCTGAGCACCTGTTCTGTGCCCAGCATAGTGCTAGGTCTTAGAGATGTGGAGATGAACAAGCCAGGTGTGACTCCTTTTCACAGAGCTTCGAGCTGCCTTGTGGGGGATGGTTGCTCCACAGGTAGATGAGTAGAGAGCTCCCTTTTCCATCCCACCCCCCACCAGCTGCTTTCTGTCTCGTTCACTGCTCCATACTCCTAGAGCTTTCTGCTCAAATAATTCCCTTCGGTGTTAGGGGTCAAGATGTAGCCCCTCCCTGTAGGGCATACATTAGGGTGGGGGTACTAAGAGGCCGGCACCCTCCTTCAGCATAATGAAGAGCTTTGCCCACTAGACTTCCTGGGGCCAAAGAGGAGTGGAGCTCTCCCCTCACCATGTGGACATGACAATCAGTCTGTATGTCTTTCTCCTGGGTCCAGAGAAGCTTTCAGGAGCTCCTGTTCTCCAAGAACTGCAGGGTGACCAGATGATAGGTAGTTTCATTGTCCTTGTTCACAGATCGGGGAGCGGGGCCTCAACCTTTCTGGGGGGCAGAGGCAGAGGATCAGCCTGGCCCGTGCCATCTACTCCGACCGTCAGCTTTACCTGTTGGACGACCCCCTGTCTGCCGTGGACGCTCATGTGGGGAAGTACATCTTTGAGGAGTGCATTAAGAAGACACTCAGGGGGAAGACAGTCGTCCTGGTGACCCACCAGCTGCAGGTGATGAGACATGCTGGATCCAAGAGGTCACAGGATGGGTATGGTTCCCAATGCTCACAGTTTCCTCTTCTGCCTAAACATCCTCTCCTGTCTGAGACTGTTCTCACCTGGCCATGGTGGGGAGGGAGCAGGGGATGAAAGAGTTCTCCTGGCTCCCAGGAGCCCTGCCTGCTTCTCTCTGTACATGGACTCACTAGGGTCAAGAATTTACCCACCACAGGGTGAATTCTCCAGGCACAATTGAGTCCTGCCCATGAGGTCTGCCTGGGCACCCTTCCTCTGGTTCTGGGCTGCTGGTGGTGAGGAGATGGGGAGCCAGAGGAAACCATTCAGACCCCACCCTTCATCCAGCAGGGCTGTACAGGCCTGAGGCTGGGGTCACCTTGGCTGGGGTGACTGGAGGTGGCAGACCCCAGACATTATACCCCAGGGAAAAGGGCTGGAAGCCAAGACTTTGGGGCCAAGGCTAAGCCTCTGGGGAAGATCTCTCTGCTCAGGACCACTTTTCCAGGCTCGGAAGCATGAATCTTGCCAAAGTGACTGGGCTCGACCTGAGTGGGTTTATGGATTGGGCAGGGTGAGGATGGTCCTCACTGCATCGGTCCCACATAAGGGGTTCTGAAAGCCCAGTGGAAATCCAAGCTTCTCCTCCAACCTGAGACAAGCCAGATCTCCCACTCCCAGTCTCCCTCTTTCCTCTCCATAGTGAGTCTCCAGAGGCATAAAGGGGTTGGAGGATCCACAACTCTTGCCAGAGGAGAGCCACCACAGGACTGGCCTCCGTCGAGAGGCCCAGGGCAGCAGGAGTCTTGTCTGCTCTACTCTCCTGCCATCTGCCCGGAGCATGTTAAACAAGGGCCTGGTCTGGGGACAGGAGGCAGTTCTCATTGCCTTGAAGAATGAGAGGCTGTGGTGGAGAGGGAGGAGGCATGGCAGCAAATGAAGTTGCCATGGCTACAGGATGCTGCAGCCAGCATTTCAGGATTCTCTAGCAGTGGTCAGGAGGACCAGCCTGAAGGGGGCGATCGCCAAAGACCCAGAAAACCAAACTTTACCATGACCATGGTGCTGCCCTAGCCCCAGCTGACACTTGCCCGGGGCTAGAGTCCCAGCCCAGAATAAACTCCAAGCATCTGAATTGTGCACAGGGGGATTGTCTGGGTTTTCCCTGAATGGGCTATACCACCTCCAGCTAACATTAAGCTGGGTTGTGTGGACAAGAGCTCCAGGTTCCTCTTCTGGTCAGGAGTCGGTGGAGGAGAAGGTAGGATTTCTTGGACCCCCAACCAGGTGCTAAACGTGTTCATCACAGCTCTGTGTCAGGATTGTCCATCCCTGGAGACAATGGGCAGCAGGGAGGGCTGTCCTTCTGAGGGCTCTGGGCCTGTGAGGGGGACACCTTGTGACTGACGGATGTGAGTTAGAGCTGTTCCTCTAGGAGTCCTCACAGAAGGAAATCGTAGCCTCGGTTCTGGTCCAGTCTTTGAAACCCACCAACCAGCAGTACAACCTGAGGCAAGAAACCCTCTTTCCCCCAGACCTTAGTCTCCTCTAAGAATCTACCTTTTTCCTTCAATAGTCTGCTGATAAGGCTTCTGTGGTCTGTTCACTGCCTACTCCCATTTTCACCCCTCACTATTTCTCTGGATTCTTCTCCACTGACGCCCTTACTCATTCTGCTTCAGCCACACCGACCTCCTTGCTATTCTAATGTGTTTCCCCATCAAGGCCTCTGCCCTTTCTGCTCTCCCTATCTGAATCATTCTCTGAGGAGTCACGGGTATCTGACCCCTTTTTAAGGTCTTATGCTCAATTGTCACATCTTCAGTAAGCCCTACCTTGCCTTACCCTGTTGAAAATTGCAGCTTTCACCCAGCATTCTCTTCTCTCTTCCCTGTTTTATTGTTTTCTTTATCACTATAGGATGCACTCTTTATCTTTTTTTTTTTTTTTTTGAGTTGGAGTCTCATTCTGTCACCCAGGCTGGAGTTCAGGGGCCTGCTCATGGCCACCACAGCCTTGACCTGCTGAGCTTAGGTGATCCTTCTGCCTCAGCCTTCCAAGTAGCTGGAACTACAGGCATGTGCCACCACACCTAACTAATTTTTTGACTTATTGTAGAGATGAGGTCTCGCCAGATTGTCCAGGATGGTCTCGGATCCCTGAGCTCAGGCAATCCTCTTACTTGGCCTCCCAAAGTGCTGGGATTATAGGTGTGAGCCACCGTGCCCTGCTCTTTATCTTATTTATTTAGTTATTAGCTATTGTCTACCACCACTATAAAACATAAACCACTTGAGGACAGAAGCATTTGGTTTCACAGTTCACCTCTGTACCGTGAGTGCCTGACACATGGTAGGTGCTCAATAAGAGTTGTAGAATGGAAAAAAAAATCTGCCTTTCCCCAAGGTCATTTTATCTTACTTTTCCTGTGTTGGAAAATGGAGTCAGCCACCAGGTGGCACCGGACCTTGGTCTGGCTGTTCCTTGTCAGGAAGGAGAGCACTCTGCGTCTGGAACTGGAACCCTAGGGCTTTTCTAGAGAATTTCTCTGCTGCTTTTACTCTTGGGCCTGTAGGCTAAGCAGATGCTTCTGCCTAGTTGGACTGGGGATCACTCTTCTACTACCTGAAGAAACAACAAAAAGAGCCTGACATCCAACCCAGGTCACACTTGGTGAGAGTTTGCAGAGCAAAGTGGCTCAGATCCTTCTAGTATTTCTGAAGCCAACTGGGGGCTCTCTGGCCAGAGGGAGCTTCACCAGGAGCTTCTGGAGGTGGAATGTATGCCCTGGCATAGGCAGAAAAGGCTACAGGGCCTATGGGGCCTCAGTTTCCCCATCTGGAAAATTGGCTGATAATAAAGCTGCTTGCTTTCTTTATTGGATTGTAAGAGATGGAGAGGTAAGAGAGGAGATCAGGTCTGTGCAAATGTGAGATGTTATTTTCTGGGGAAAAAAAAACGACTCTGTTAGGACATGTCTCAAATGGATATTTAAAGCCAGTCTGTTCCTGCCTGGGCTGTCTGGGGAAGTAGACAGGGAGCTAGGCAGTTAGTCTGAGGGAAGCATAAAGACTGGAGCATCCAGGCTAGCAAAACTGTTATCATTTAGTCTTTGAGCAACAACCCCCACTTCCCCCAACAGGTGCACAGCGACCAAAATGTGTTTACTCTAATGTCTCTAGTCAGGAGCAGCAAGGGCTGATTTGACCTCGGACGGGTCCTGTAATATAGGAGAAGACTCTGGACCATACTGCAAAGGCTTCTTCAGGCTGAACCATCTCAGATCTCTCAGCATCTTGCCCACCTCTGGGGGCAGGGAGGGGCTTCCTTGATCCTACTGGGAGAGCTCTGGCTCAGTTCAAAATGAAAGGAAACCCCTCTTAACAGAACTCTTTGATCTCTGGAGTGATATGGAAATGAGAGGATTCAAATGAAGAAAACAGAAGTGCTTTGGGCAAAATGTAGGATGCCTGCATTAAATGTAGCTGTACTTTTATCATATAGATAAAGTTGGGAGTGTGGCTGCAGACTGCTCCATGGTCTGCTTCTCCTGTGCTGAATGGGGATAGTATAGAGGTTTTGTGATGCTATAACAGAGAAAGACCACTGCAAAGGTCACATTTCTCGTCTCTACCAGATCTTGGTCACGTGGTTGTCACTTTCATTTTACAAATCTCCACGATCAGATTTCTTAGGAGGGCATTAAAGGAGCAGTAAGTAGCAAAGGAAGGTGGGATGTACTTCATGGTGACAGCTAAAGACTGACTTTGGCACTCATGAGACTTGGGTAAATCCATGGTTCTCAGCTGGCGACCATTTTGCCCCCGGAGGGCAATGTCTGGAGACATTTTTACTTGTCATAACTAGGGAAGCGGGTACTGATGGGATCTGGTGGGTAGGGGCCAGGAAGGTTGTTAGTGGGGGGACCCTAATGTCAATAGAGCTAAGGTTGAGAACTTCTGTCCTAGGTGATGGATGGGTGGGAGTTTGGCATGGGCTCTTCCTCCTCTTACCAGAAGTTCGTAGATCACTTCACTCTCTCTGCAGTTCTTGGAATCTTGTGATGAAGTCATTCTGTTAGAAGATGGAGAAATTTGCGAAAAAGGAACCCATAAGGAGTTAATGAAGGAGAGAGGGCACTATGCAAAACTGGTTCACAACCTCCGAGGGTTGCAATTCAAGGTAGATCAGATGCCCCTGGGTGGGAGGGGCTGAGAGCCATCCCTCATGATTTCCAGCCTGGAAAGTTTCTGTCATTCAGCTTTCAGAGGAATTTCCTCTTGTCTCCAGGATCCTGAACACATTTACAATGCAGCAATGGAGGAAGCCCTGAAGGAGAGCCCTGCGGAGAGAGATGAAGATGCTGGTACAAACAGAGTTAGAACCCACCTCTCCTACTGCCCTTGGCTTACGAATGCACACAGATTTCTCTGTATTTCTCATCCTAGTTTTGGCTCCAGGAAATGAGAAAGATGAAGGAAAAGAATCTGAAACAGACTTAGACTCTGTAGACACTAAAGGTATTTACTGCACATTCCCTTGGTCGTATACTCTTAATCATTTGTTGGGCATCTACCATTCAGGATGGAGAAGTGTAGGCTCAGTGCATGGCATTTGGGGCAGCTAAGATTGTGTGGTCTCCTGCAGTGGAAACCTTGGGGTTCATCTGCCTAGGTCCAAGTTTTGGCTCCACCACATCCTTTAGGTTCGTGACTTTTTTTTTGAGTTGGGATCTCACTCTGTTGCCCAGGCTGGAGTGCAGTGGCATGATCACAGCTCACTGCAAGCCCTGACCTCCTTGGCTCATGTGATCCTTCCACCTCAGCTTCCTGAATAATTGGAACTATGGGTGTACACCACCATGCCCAGCTAGTTTTTATATTTTTTTGTAGAGATAGGGTCTTGCTATGTTGCCTAGTCTGGGCTAAAACTTCTGGGTTCAAGCAATCCTCCTGCCTTGGCCTCCCAAATTGCTGGGATTACAGGTGTGAACCACTGAGTCCGGCCAGTTTTGTGACCTTGAACACTCTGCATCTTGGTTTCCTAATCCATAAGATGGGAAAATGATAGTACAGCCCCCATAAGTTCTTGTAAAGATTAAATGAGAACAAGTACATCAAGCAATTAGCACAGCATCTGACACATAGTAACTCTCAATAGCTATTATTAGTTGGAGAGATCAAAGCAATGCACAGAGATTAATTAGCAGCAACAGCAAACACGAGAGCTATTTCTCTCTCTCTATGGGGAGCATTGAGAAAAGATTGAGAGGCAGTGAGGGGACTGAGGGGGAATAAGTTTATTCATTCCTTCAACAAATGAGGACTAAGCACTGTACTATGTGCCAGGTACTAAGCTAGGCTGGGGAGAGAGAAAATAAGTCCTGTATTCTTAGGACCTTATGATCTGGTGGGAGATCACAGGGAGATGGATAATCATGGGAAGCAAGCAGGAGTAATGGGGAGTTGGGGTGGGAGGAACCAGCAAGTCAGGGAGGGCTTCACAGAGAGAGTGACCTGTGGACTGGTCCTGTAAGGATGTGTAGGAGTTTGCTGGGGACACTATGGTGAGAAGGTGGAGGAGGGTGGAAGGTTTGAGGTTGATGCCAGGAGGAGATGCCAAGAGGACAGGGAGGAAGTGAGGGTAGCCTGGAGAGGGCCAGGCTGATCAGGCCACCTCTCCTCCTCCTTGGACACTGCTGCCTTCCAATTCTTTGTCTATTCTACATCCCCGGAGTACCTATTCGGTGCCCTGATGTGAAGGGGTCAGGATTCCTCAAAGTGCACATAGCAAGGTGACTTTCCAAGTTAGAGTTTTGTTCCTCATTAAGGCATAGCTTAAAAAAAAAACAAACTTAGCACATTTCATCAAATCTAAGACGCCTTGCATTTTTTAAGACCATCATCATTTTTACCTACCACTTGAAAAGAAAAAAATCTTTGCCAATTAAACGATATGACATACTATCAAATGGAAAGCACATCCAGATTTCAGAGATGTTAAAGTGTGGAAAGAAATGGGAGTCTTTGAAGTAATGAAATTTGGCACCATTAATGGTGCTTGTGACAAATGCATGTGCCTTTGAAAAGACAACATATTTTTACTGTTCCGGAGGCTCCCTAGGCTGAAGTGAAGGGCCCAGACATCTCTTCCGTACTTTTCAGAAAAAGTGCCAGGCTGCCTAGGATTTGAGGTCCTGTAGAGGGAGTAATCCCTGCTTCTCATTTCCTCACCACCTATCCTTTTTTGGAAGGAAAGTGGAATTGTGAAATTTCACTTTGAGAGAGACCCAGTCCTTGTGGATAAATAACTGGGCTGTTCAGTGCTCTGGAAGCTATAGGCAGGGCAGCCCTGCCCACCTGCCTGGCACCAGTGTCTTCTAAAGCACAGCAGAGGCAAAAGTGAGCACCAGCAGCACTCCTGAGGATGGTGGGCTGCAAGGGACTTGACCGCTTGCTTTGTGCTCCAGGCCTCCGTTCATTGGGCTCTGCCTGCACGCTGAGGCGTCTCCCTCATTTTGCAGTCTCAGAGGGAGACACAATGAGCTAAAGTCAGGCTGAACGTTTTCAAAGGAGTGCGCTGGTTCCCAGGCAGAGAGTATAATGGTGGCTCTATCCAGCGAGGCGCCTTTGAGGTGTGAAAGCCTTCCCTGTCAGGGCAGGATGCAGAGAGGCTGTGTGTGGGCTGCCCCCTCTTCTAACTCTATTCATCTCTGTTTATGAAAGCTAAGTATGGTTTATGATTCTGCTTTGAAGTTGACATTTTCATGCTTCTCCATGGAGGACAGGGAAGAGACAGGCATTCAGTGCTTGCTGCTGGGGGCTGCTTCAGCATTTCTGCTCCTCTGAATGTTTCCACAAGGACTAACAGTCGTGTCCTCTTTTCCTCTGGGGCATGGAGAGGTCATGGGACAGACATGGAGGGAATCTGATGTCCATGCAGCTGCCAACCTAGGAAGATACCCTGGTTTTTCTTCTGCATGGTGTGAGCACTGAGAAGATAGGAACTGCCTTTCTCATTCGCCCTGTGGTAAATGCGGGTGCTTTTACCACCTCAGCGCAGGCAGCCGACTCCCAACTGTCATCTCTGCATTCCTTTGCCTGGGGCTGCCAGCTACTGAGGGGGCCCTCACCCCATAGTCCATAGAAGCTGGTATAGAAAAATCCCAGATCCCACTCATCATATGGAAAAACCCTGAGGTGTATGTCTACACTGGCTGTGGGATTTCTCTACATGGGATTAAGCTCCAGCCACCCACAATGGTTGCTGGCTTGGTGATACCCCTTTTTCTTTAACTTTATTTTTGTTTATTTATATCTTTAGAGACGAGGTCTTGCCCAGACTAGAGTACAGTAGTATAATCATAGCTCACTGTAACCTGGTATTCCTGAGCTCAAGCAGTCCTCCTATCTCAGCCTCCCAATAGCTGGGACTGCAAGTGTCCACCATTATGCCTGGCTAATTTTATTTTTCTGTAGAGATGGGGTCTCAACTATGTTGCCCAGGCTGATCTCAAACTACTGGTCTCAAGCTATCCTCCCACCTTAGCTTCCCCTTTGTTGAGATTACGGGCATGAGCCACCACACTCAGTGGTGATATGTCTTCTGTTGTTACCTTCCCTTCCCTACTCCTTTTATCTCCCCAGTAAACTACATGTATTCCTATCCTCTTCTCGAGTGCTGCTTCCTCTGTATTCCCAGGACCGAGCACATAGTATGTGCTTAATAAATATCTCTCAAAAGACCTAAAGTCTATTTCACAGGGATGTAGTGAAGATCAAATCGAGTAAATAAGTAAAGGTGTGTTGGAAATTTGAAAGCATGGGACAAGTGGAAGGATGGTCATAGCGCCCTCAGTCGTGGTGTGGCGTGTGCAAAAGGGTATGCCTGCCTTGGAGGACCCCTGCCCAGCAGTCAGTGCCATGGCACTTGTGTGTTTGTGTTTGTCTCCTTAGTTCCTGTGCACCAGCTCGTCCAGACTGAATCCTCCCGGGAAGGAACCGTGACCTGGAAAACATATCACACATATATTAAGGCTTCTGGAGGTTCAGTATAAAACAATGGGTTCCTTGATTTAATTTGCATTTTAAAAATCCTATCTTAAACTGTTCACGTTTTATGATTTCTTTAACAATTACTCTCTTTATGCTAGGGCCATTTATCAATGCTTTTATTTTTTTCTCCCCTCTAAAAACTCAAGTCTGATAATACAGCCTTTTAAATGGAATCATTCTTTATCTCCATTAAAGCTGCCAGACTCTGTTTTATTGAAGCGGAGTGAGCAGCGGCATGAACCAGCAATGGTGCTTCTGTGCTGGCTCACCCCAGCCGCTGAGCTCAACAGCGGTCAGTTCACTGCCTGCCTTCTCCACAAGAGTCCCATCTTGGTGGGGTAAACTTACCTGTCATTTCATTTCCTGTCTCTCCCCCAGCAAGACTGGGTTTTCTTGTTTTTTTTTAATTTATATTTTATTTTTATTTTTTTGAGTTGGAGTCTCACTCCGTTGCCCAAGCTGGAGTACAGTGGCACACTCATGGCCACCCCAGCGTCGACCTGCCAGGTCCCAGCGATTCTTCCACCTCAGCCCTCCAAGTAGCCAGAACTACAGGCATGCACTACCATGCCCTGCTAATTTTTGATTTATTGTAGAGACAAGGTCTCACCAGGTTGCCAGGGCTGGTCTCGAACCCATGGGCTCAGGCAGTCCACTCACCTCAGCCTCCCAATGTGCTGGGATTACAGGCTGAGCCACTGAGTCCAGCCTCTTGGTTTGTTTTTAAAGAGTACCAAGCCACTTCTGTTAAAATGCACATTGATGGTTTTTCCAGTATGTTCACAATGTGGACCCATTTTCCAACCAGGTGGAACAGGTGTCCGCATGGCTCAGGGGCCCGACACCCAGATATGTCGCACCAGCCCAGAAGGAGGTTCCCGGGTGGGGGCTTTATCCTACAAATTTTGGATTTCCCTCAGAGTTGAGCTCTGAGGAGGGCCAGCCTGCTGCTGTGATCTCACACTGGCTGCCCCCTCGGACGTGCTCCTCCTCTTGCAGGGTACCTGCTTTCTCTCTTCACAGTGTCCCTCTTCCTCCTGATGATTGGCAGCTCTGCCTTCAGTAACTGGTGGCTGGGTCTCTGGTTGGACAACGGCTCACAGGTGAGTTTCCCTTTGGCCCTGAAGGTGTTGAGTCTATCTTGGAGCAAAACTGTTGCTGGTGGAGAGTGGAATGCACCCAGCACCACACCATCAGCTCATATGCATCCCCTGGCCCTTTCAAGAAGTAGAGGTCAGCTGCTTACAACATGTGGCTCCAACCCCTGCAATCCCCTTCAGTTTCTCAAGACAAGCAGGGCATCTGTATTTTGATGTGCCACATTCAGTTTGAAAAGGTTGACTCAGAAAGACACATGCCACAGCATGCAAGTGTATAACATGGTGAGGACAGGTGTGTAGCCTCTCATAAGCTTTCCCCAAGAAAGCCTGACATAGATTTGTGTCTTCCTGCCTCTACAGAGAAACTGGCATCTTTTCGTGGACACTTCCAGTGCCAGAATGTCATGTGTGGCTCTGTTCCTCAAAGTTGCCTCTACAGGGGTGGGACGGGCAAGTGTCAGACTCAGGCCCTGCAAATGCCACGGGGCCACTGGGGGCCTTTCTCCACAGGGCCCTTCCCGGGAAGAACTGATAAGTTTGCGTTCCCTCAAGCTTGCTGGAAGCGCTCCTAGCTTTTAGTCAATGGTTTCAAAGCTTTTCTGGAGCCCTGGAGAATGCTGGGGGGTCCCTACCCATCCTCCAAGATTATGTTTTGGTACAGTTCTGTTGCTATGATGACCAAAGTGAGGAGACACTGGGGAGACTTGGACCAGGAAGAAGCTTTTTGGGTGCAGCTCCCTGAGGCCATTCCCAAGGGGTGGACTGATGGTGGGCTGCTCCATGCTGAAATGGAGAGTCTTCCCTGGAGGAGATATGTTCTCCCAGAACCTCACTTACTCAGGAAGAGCCCTTTCTTTGGAGAGCCTGAGGCTTTGGGTCAGGGCGGAGGCCTCTCTTAGACTTGGTGCCTCCCCAACCAGTTGCCATTGGCCACCTGAACATGCAGCAGTGGTGGCAGACCCATGGATTTGCCCCTTGCCCCTCCCCCACTGTGGGCACAACCTAAGGCACAGGCGTGCCTCCTTTTCAAGCTGGGCCTTTTGGGCCTTTCATCTGTTAACTCCCTGAGGTGCTTTTATTTTTATGCATGTTCATCCATCAGCCACCTCTGGTTTACATTTCTGCTATTACTGTAATCCGCAAAATGGCATTTAGAAGAAAGATGCTTGTTTGCTCCCCAAAGGCAGCCTTGACTTTTAGCATACAGCCTAGAGAAAAATGAAACTGCCAATTTTTTAGGAGGAGGAGATGGCCTCTTCCCAGAAATGCTGGCAAAATCGTGTTTTCTCACTGGGCAGGATGGAGCCACAGTTGATTTGAATCCTCCCAGAGCCTCTTGTGTTCACCTGGCTCCTGCCTCCCCACCAGGGCCTCTCCAGGGCAGTATATCAGTGCTCTTCCAGTTGCTTCTTGGGAAGAGGAAAAGGAAGGGACTGTGGAGCTGGTCCCTGTACAGAGAAGCCCCCTGGGTTTCCCTGAGGACCTGGTGGCTGCTGTCAGGCTGCTCAGCACGTTGGAGGCAGTCTCTGATTCTCTGGTCTGGGCTACCTGAGGGTTGGATTTCCTGTTTGCTTCTGGGATCTTCCAAGCCCAGCACCACTTCTGGTCTCCTGAGGCACAGTTAGCTTCTGGAATGGCTGCCCCGTGCCTGCCTGGTGTCTGCTTTGTTTTTCCCACTGACTGCAAAGCTCATAAGTCAGGTGCCACTTGGGGTCATGACTGCAAGGAGGAAGAACATGCAAAGCTCAAAGGGGACTGACTTGATTTTACCCATTCAACTCATTCTTAGCAATTATGCTCTTCTTTTTAGTTTCTTCCATCTGGAAAGATCCTCTGGAAGATTTCCATTCTCCTGACAGTTTACCAATTCTTACTGGTTCTCTTGTTTTTCTCCAAAGATGACCTGTGGGTCCCAGGGCAACAAGACCATGTGTGAGATGGGTGTGGTCCTGGCAGACACCGAGCAACATGTCTACCAGTGGGTGTATGCAGCAAGCATGTTGTCTGTGCTGGTGTTTGGCATCACCAAAGGCTTCACTTTTACCAAGACCACTCTCATGGCATCCTCCTCGCTGCACGACAGAGTGTTTTACAAGGTACGGCCACCAGGGGCTGCATCCTGTTATTCAGTCAATAAGGTTTATTGAGCACCTGCTGGGGACAGACACAGCCCACATGGAGCCTGCAGTCTTGTCTGAGAAGAGTCTCTCAAATAGCTAATTACCAACTGTGAGGAGCAAACTCCAGAGAGCTATGGGGTATATCACCAGCCCTTCAGCAGGGCTGGAGATGGAGGTGGGGGAAGCCCCTCTGGAGCAGAGATGAGTAGGCCAAGAAAGCCCGGAGTGCAACAAGGTCCTGGAGGAGTACTTCTGGTTCCTTCCTCATTCCACTTCTGCAGTGGCCAGAACATGTGGGTGGCACTGCACTTTGGGGGTAAGGAGACAGAGTGGAACTTGTCCTTCTGTTGCCCAAGGGTATACAATTCCTCCCTCCTCCAAAGGCACCAGCCCCTCCCACCCCAGGCTGCATCCAGATTTAGAGAGAAAACCTGACCTGCAGGGGTTCTCTTGGGACCTCCACACAGAGGCCATATCTCTCCCACATTCACTCTCATTCATTATGGCCACACAAGTGGGGCGCATCCTCCCTTTCCCAAGGTCTCTGGACACATTGTGTTGTGCCCTGTGAAAAGGCAGGTCCTGTGTTTATGATTCCAGCCCCAGTGGAGCAGCCTGGGCTTTCTAAACATACACCTTGATGCTGTTTGGCACTCTGCTTTTATTCACAGATCCTGAAGAGCCCAATGAGCTTCTTTGACACGACTCCCACTGGCAGGCTAATGAACCGCTTTTCCAAAGATATGGACGAGCTGGACATGAGGCTGCCATTTCATGCAGAGAACTTTCTGCAGCAGTTTTTTATGGTGGTGTTTATTCTCGTGATACTGGCTGCTGTGTTTCCTGCTATCCTTTTCATCCTGGCTGGCCTTGCTGTAGGCTTCTTCATCCTTTTACGGTAGGTCTATGCACTATTTAAGAAGGAGAAAGCAGCACATACAGTTAACTATGCATGATGACCAGTACTGGGTGATGTTGAGCATTGAGCACTTGCTGCCTTCTCTGATGGTACACCACATTGATTTTTGGCACTTGCTAAATGCCAGGTGCACTGCTAAGTGCTTTGCATACATCTGGCATTTTAGCCTCAGACCAACCTGAGAGGTAGACATTACTAGGAGGTTAAGGCACCAGTCCCAGGCCAGGAAGCCAGTAACCGTGATTGCCATCTGCCTGCTGACATGCCCTTAGCCATGGGGCTCTGTCCTGCCTGCTGCTGGAGAAGGGAAAGGAGACCAATCCTCAGTCACTCTGAGTTTTGAGAGACAGCCCCCACCCTAACCACTGATGAAGAAGACAAAGACCTCAGACAGCTTTGCACTGGGGTTTCCTGCTGCCACTGCGCACACCCACACTGGGGAAAAGCAGGGGGCAGCAATGATCCTAGGAAATCAGACGCCCCACCCATCTAGTCCTGGAGTAAGCTGAGGGCAAAGGGCTGCAAATCAGAAAAATTGCATTAGAGCCCCAGCTCTTGCTGCAAAACTAGCTGGAGAACTTGGGAGAAGTCAGAGAAATCCTGCAAGCCTCAGTTTCCTCTCTCTGAAATGGTAATCATTAAAACATGTGCCTCTCACCTGTCTTAGAGGGCTCGTTGTGAGAATCAAATGAGACTACATGGCCAATTACTTGTAAATTAAAAATGGAGTAAAATATTATACAAGAATTTCCATAAACAGCAAAAACTAAAAGTAATCATTTTTCATGCTCTTAGATGTACCCAGCCCTGGGCTGGACATTGAGGAGCTTAAAGAGAATCCCTAAATTATAAAATATTTAGCCCACAAGCCCTGGGCCTGCCTCCAGAGGGTTGTTTGTTTTCACTCAGGGTTACCACACTCAGCTCTGAGTTTTAAAAATACTGCTTTGGCCACAGTGTGGAGGATAAGCTGAACTGTAGGAAGGTCAGGGCAGGCTGCAAGGTGGGGGTCTCCTGGAATGTATAGTCTGTATAAGGGTTGGTGAGGACTAGACATGGGCAACAGCAGTGGGAACAGAAAAGAGGAGTAGATTTCAGAGCCATCTCTAGGTCGTGTCATCAGGGCTTCAGGACTTTTCTTCATGGGAGAGGACAAGGATGACTCCCAGGTGGGGAGTGGTGTGTAGAGAGAAACAGGTGATATGGAAGGAGAAGCAGTTTGGGTAATCAAGGGTATAAATTTGATTTTGGATATATCAAGTTTGTTCATCAAGTCCCCAATGGTGTCAGTGGACAATGGCAGATGTGGGTGCAGGGATGCCCTGGGACAGGAGAGCTGGAACTGGCGTCTGTGTGGGGAACTCCTGCTTCTTGCTATAAGAGCAAGACAGACCAGAGTTGGTCCTGACTGAGTTATCCAGATGTATCCGGCTAACTCACTTGAGCTCTGAACTGATGAGTCTCCCTTCTTGCTGGCCTGGGTTAATGTCAGCTGGGAGTCTGGAGGCCTGACTACATTCTCTCACATGGGCCAGCCAGCTAACCTGACACCAGAGGTTCCTGCGCTCCTTCTCCTCAGGGCTGCCAGAACTTCCAGGAAGGGAAGCAGCATCCTTTGGTGGGTTCAGGTTCAAAGTCAGCTGCTGAGGTTATACTGATGTTCATTCAAAATTACTTTTGCAAATGCCTTTAGAAGGCCACATGTTGGCAGTTGACACATGAGTTTTCTTCTAGAGGTAGAAAAGATCACTTTTTCTCTGGCTGGGTACCAAAAAGTGGTTGGCCTATATTCAGGGGCTGTGCTATATGAGAAATTCTGGTCTTTGAAGATTAGAATCCCATCTTATGCAGTGAGCCATTCCTGCTGTGAGGAGTACTTCGAACTGACGCCAAATGAAGGAACAGCCAACTCACATTTCTCACATCCCCTGCCTCCCACAACCAGGATGGGCACCCCTGGGGAAGAATAGAAGGCCTGTTCTTATTTCCCAGTCAGATGGCATGTCTCCTACTGAAACGTGGTCTTGAGTGAATAGTCAGAGCTGCATGTGTCAGGGCGAGCTGCTGAGACCCCATTTCATGGCCCTCTCGATTTTCTTACAGCATTTTCCATAGAGGAGTCCAGGAGCTCAAGAAGGTGGAGAACATCAGCCGATCACCCTGGTTTTCCCACATCACCTCCTCTGTGCAGGGCCTGGGCATCATTCACGCCTATGACAAGAAGGAGGACTGCATTCACACGTGAGTCCTGTGCGGGGCTATGTGTGACACTGAGTGGGAGGGCATGGGAACAAATGGCCGCTCTGGCTCTGAGAAGGTAGTCTGAGTCGTGGGGGACTGACCACAGATGAAGAGCTGGCACAATCGGGGAGGACCACTCTAAGACACTTGGCCTCTCTTCTAGCATCTGGGGCCCCAAAAGATGTAAATGAGGGAGCTCATTCAATGACAGCCTCAGTATGTGCCTTTTTGTGTTTTATTTTTCATTCTAAAAGTAAAAATGTGTTCAATTCAGAAAAAATAGGGCAAAACAGAAAAAAGGAGGAAAAAAATCTCTCATAGGCCCCAACCCCAATCTTACTGATATTTTCATATATTTCCTTCAGTCTTTTCTTTTTTTCAATTCATGGGGTTTTCTTCTTCTTAAGTGTTTATAATAATCTAAAAAAATTACTTAAACTTTTTATATAGGATATTTCATGCTATTACATGTTCTTTGTAAAAATAATTTTTAAAGATCACATTTCACGTCACTTAGTGTGTTCTTTTTAAAATGTGGGGACTAGATTCATAAATTCCTCTGAAGTCTTCCATCTTCAAACTTCTAAAATATGGTATAAAATGTATTAATCACAGTAGGCTTACTGCAGTGACAAATAAACCCAAATCTTTGGGACTCCACACGTGAGAATCCATGGGGCAGAGGTAGGGGATTCTGTTTCTTATTCAGGCACAGTCTCTTTCTGTCCCTGTTTTTAGCTGGAAGACAGGGAGAGAGGGCATGATGGAGGACCCATGGGAAACTTTTATGGTTCAACCCTAGCAAAGAGTCTCAACATTTCTGCTCATTCATTAGCCAGATTTCTGTCACATGGGCTTATCTAACTGCAAGAGAGGCTGGGAAACGTAGTCCAGCTGTGTCCACAGGAGTAAAGAAAATGGAGTTTGGTGGATCTAAAGCAGTCTCTCCCACATATATGTTCTCCTTTCCTATCTTTTCCTTCCTTAAAAAGCTAAATTCACACCTCGGTGTTTGCATCTAATTCTTTCTCTCACCCTCCCCCAACTCTGCCTCCCTGGATCTCAATGTAGACTTGACAATACAACTTGTCTTTAGTTCAGTGAGCAGCTAGTCCTGTTCTGAGTTTGACCTGAGCATCATTGGGCAAGAGTTTCAGAATACACACAGACCCTTCTAATGTCCCGGTCACGAGGAACGCCCACAGAACCATTCATCTACTCACCTGCGACAAATGAAACAGATTCAAGCTTTGTCTTCCTGAAGATTCTTCTCCAAGACTTCCAAGAGAATCCCATAGGCAGCTTAGCATGATTGATGGAGTTTCCTCTCTATTAATATTTTCTTTCCAGAGGGCTTGGGCTTCTGATGTGTATTACTTTTGCCAACAGACAAAAATGTATTAAAAATAAAAAAGGCTTGGGGTCAAATTCCAATTTGATCTCTGCTAGGGATTTTGTTTCTGTGCAGTCTAACCAACCATACAATAAGATCACAGATGACTTCTATGTCACTTAATGTCAGTTGAATTTGTAGGATATATAGCTACATGGTAAAAACAACATGGTGTTTGGAAGTATATTTTGACTAGGCTCTGGGGAAAATAAATTAGAGTGGAAACAAAAAGGAGGCAAGGGTAGCAGAACCCAGGATGGTTGGCCAGAGGTGCTTCCAGAAAGAATCCTCGGAGGACTTTGCGGACAGGGTGGAGCTGCAATGCCTGAGGACAATCAGGACTGTACCAAAGGAGGAATTGTAAGTCCTTAGGGGTTTAAGCATTGAAACGTTTTCAACTTTTTCCCAATAGTTTCTGCCAGCTGTTCTACTGAAGTCCCTCTTCCCACCAGGTCAGGGAAGCCTCAGTGGCAATTGAATCTGATGTCTCCTTTGGTTAATGGCTAGTTCAATCCCGTTAAAATATCAGTTTTGAATATATTCAAGTCACAGCTTTCTTTCCCCTAGAGGTTTGGTGTGGCAAGGCTGAGCTGTGTGTTTGTGTGTCTGCCAGAGGTGGCAGGCTTGCAGTTAGGAAGTACCCAGTATATTCTCCCATTTCTCTGTTTCTCTGATGCTGGTGCAGGGAGAGGAAAGGACACATCCTCAGGCAACTGCTGCCTCTGGGCCTCTGTCTCCTTTCTACTGCTTCAGTGTGCTGTGAAGATGTAGAATGGCAGGGAACAGGCCCCAAAAGGGCCCAATCCCAAGCAGCTCTAAAGGCACTGCCGCATCAGTAAGATTTGCTGGTCTTCCAGTGAATTCTGTCTGGTGGCCCTCACAACGTGTTCCTCTGATGTGGGTACCTCTTTGTCTCATGTTGAGGAGCCTCGAATCAAGACTGCAGCCCCAAATGTCATCTTCTCTCTGCTCTCAACTTTGGGAACTGACGAACTGGCTGAATCTGCCTCCCATACATCTGGGGAATGAGGAACTCCAGGTCTGGGTAGTGCCCCATCCTCTGGCTGCATGGCCTCTTTGTCACTCTACTCTGTGCTCCTTTCTCCTCAGCAAGCCCTTTAGCTCAGTGGACATGCCGCAGAATACAAAATGTCAACTTTCTCTCCTTGAGGATTCCCAGTTTTATAAGCAATTACCTTGTATCATCTTTCTCTGATTGGGGGAGGGGAACCAGTTCCTTCCCTCCTCTGTAGTCACAAATATTGACACTCCCCAAAGATGACCTCCTCCACAAACCGCCCCCACCATTTTTATAGAACCAGGAGGTCAGTTGTCAATTCCACAAGGCATTTGATGGGTAGCCAACTCCAATATAGGGATCCTTTTGAATTAGAATGTGCTAGAACTCAGTACCTTTTCTTCTCAGCTGTGGGTTCCAGTTGCCAGTTTGGGAAAGACATAAAGAGCCCACTTAGCACCATACTCTACTACCACAGGGGATTTCTGAAAATATGTGCAAGGCAAAGATGTTTATGGTGGCAGATTTTAAGAGCACATGTATATGTTCATTTTTGGTGGCGTTTACTATGTAAGACTGCATTCCCTTGCTTTATTTCTCCAGTAGCCCTATCCATAAGTCTTTGGAAGCACAATCTGATCTCTTGTCTTGCCTTATTTTCTTAATTTTAGGTTTAAGATGCTAAATGACGAAAACTCCAGCCACCTGTTGTACTTCAACTGTGCTCTCAGGTGGTTTGCTCTAAGAATGGATGTCCTCATGAATATCGTCACCTTCATTGTGGCCTTACTGGTGACCTTGAGTTTCTTCTCAATTAGTGCTTCATCCAAAGGCCTGTCATTGTCTTACATCATCCAGGTAACAGCTGGTGCAAGGTTGGGCTGGGTCCGGAGGCTCTGGCATAGAATATATCAAGAAGGATGCTTTTGGATGGACATAACAAAATAAAAAATTAATGGTTTAAACAATAAAGTGGGTCACACCATTAAAAAGCGGGGTGGTTGTGTAGACTTCAGGCACAGCTGGATCATGGCTCTTGGCTTTGCCCACCCTTTTTGATGACTTTCCTCATAGTTGTGCACTGGTGACCAGCAGCCTCCAGGGTCCACAGCAAAAAGAAAGCATTACTTGCCCTAGCCACTAAACAAAGCCTGGAGATTTAGTATTATTGGATTAATTTAGACAACAACCTTCTGATACTGCCATAATTTCCATTTTGCAGATGAGGAAACTGACACCCAGAAAGACTTGCCCAAGATCATACACCTGTCACATGTGAAAGCAACACAGGGTCTCATGTTTGTCTGAATCTTGTTCCTTGATATATGCCTTACATTTTTCTCTTTGGCGACTTTTCCATTGTAGTCCTTATGTTTGATGCTTTGAAGCTCTAGAACAATGTATCTGAATGTGGGTCTTTTTTCATATGTTCTGTTTGATGTTATGGGTTCTTTTAGATTAAAGTCAAATCTCTCTTCAGCTTGGAATAATTTCTCATTTTTCTCCTTTGACACTTTCCCCTTTTGTTTTTTCTTTCACAGCTCATATTGGTTGAATATTGAATTTCTTGCATCCATTCTCTATGTTTCTTTTGTTTTCACTTTCTTATCTTTTTATTTTTATTCTGGGAATTTTTCTTAGCTTTGCCATTCAGCCATTCTTTCAAATTTTAAATTTGGCAATCATATATTCATATATTTAATTTTCAGAAGCTCTTAGCGCTGAGTTTTTAAAAGAATCATTTTTTATGTGGATGCAATATATTTTTTAATCTCTCTGAGGATATTAATTCAATGTCTTTTCCCCTGTTAAAGCCTCCTGTCTTCTTTTTCTCATATCTGTTTTTTCTAGAGTCATTTTTCATTTTGTTTATCTGGTTCTTCCTCTTTCAAGCCATTGGTTTAGTTCTTGTGTCTCTGGGCCTATTTGTACTTAAGGATGAGGGACTGGCTTGGATATTCGGGGTTCTTCTGCCTTTGTGTATGCCTTGTCAGGACTCTCCTGATAGGAAGTCTTAGAACTGTGGGTGGGTGGTGGGGCTGGCTTCACCTCAGCAAAGAAGCCAGGGAGCTGGTCTTTAGCACCCACACACTGAACTCCAAGGTTTTTTTGTTTTTTGTTTTTTTTTAACCTAGAATTCTCTTCCAGGAGCTCCGTTGATCCCCAAGTAGTTAATTCAGTTTCTTTAGAGAAAATTGTGTGCTATGTGTGTTTCTGTATGTCTGTGAGCTTGCATACTCCCATGCCTAATGACTGTCCAACTACCTCTGGTTGAGAGGAAGGGTGGAGGGGAGTAGATGAGTCTGAGGGGAGTAGGCTGTCAGTCAACCAGACTCTTTGTGGGCCCCATTCTCACACCTGGAGCCTCGTTAAGCCCCTCTAGCACATTCTGCCTGCATTTTATCAAAAGGTTTTCCTCCTCTTTCCATCTTGAAGAAATCTGTTCCTCTCACTCACTGATATCTCTTCTCAACTCCCCTGCTGTTAAAGGTCTATTCTTTTCTGAAAATTTTTGTGATATCATTTAAGTGTTATTTTGGGAAGGAGGAGGAATGAAAATATATTCTTGATACTCTATCTTAAGTGGGAAAAAGTGAATTTCCCTTGGGTAGCCAGTTTCCCTTATTGTGGATGTTTTCATTTGTTGTTGCCTAGTAAAATATCAAACAGATGATGTTGAACGGTTTTCCTTAATTGGTCCAAGTAAAACAGATTTTTCCAACTAAGGTCGTGCTTTTTGGGTGATATCAGCTTTCCGTGAGATTGTTTTCAAACATTCCTGTAAGGTCGGAGAAGAATTTGTACATATTGAGATCTATGGGAACACTTGCTCTCCAGCTGGCTTTGTGGATTTACTGAGCATTAGCCCCCTTTGGAGAACATGGAATCAAAATGACAGAGCTTCACTTAAGATGAGAGAAGATTCCCTAGATGGATGAGAAATTGGTGTGAAAATAAGTGCAAAGCAATATAATATAACACCATGGAGGAGAGTAAGCGCTTCCTGAGGCCAGCACTGTGCCAGTGTGGGTATTCTAAACTTGGGAGGGCTGCCCTGGCCTTTAGGAGCTGATGCTCTTACATTTAACAAAATACATGTATGCCCTTAGCAAGGGTAGGGTTCCTTCATTCATTCACCACATGTCCTCTTAGCGCCTAACGTGGGCCAGGAGCTATGCTAGTGGCTAAGGATTCAGCAGTACACAATCTGGACAGGTCCCTTGCCCTCAGGGAGCTTACATTCTAGTGGGCAGCTGGAATAAATAAAGGGGCAGTAAATAAATGAGGTGGCTTCAGAAGGTACATGTTATGAAGACAGTAAAGTGGGGTAATATGGTTGTCAGGGGGTAGGAAACATTACATCCAACAGCCAGAAGAGGCTGGTGCTGGGGATGACTAGCAAGCTGAGACCCAAAAGATAAAGAACTAGGCAAGTAAGACCAGAAGCAGAGGATTCTTCAGGGATATGCATAGAGATAGGCATGAGCTTGGTATGTTGGAGGGTCTGAGAAGTCCATGTGGTTTGAGAAAAGTGGTAGAAAATAAGAGCTGAGTGATCAGCAGGGGTAGAATATATTGAGCTTTGCAAGTCTGGGCAAGGGTTACTTCCTGTGTTCTATGACCAGGCTTCCCAACTGCAGCACTAGGGGCTTTAGGGCTGGAGACTCCTTTGTGTGAGGGGCTGTCCTGTGCGTTGAAGGATGTTTAGCAGCATCCTTGGCTTCCACCCATGAGGTGCCAGTAGTACCTCCCTCCCCCCATCCCAGGTTATGACAAATGTCCTCTGGAAGACATAAGCACCGAGGCTGAGAGCCATGGCTCTAGGAGGAGTGGAAAGCCTCCAGCCTGTCCTAAACAGGGAGGCAGTGAGGGTGGCCTGTTGAGGGGCTCTAGCAGGAGGGCAGACCTGCAGCGCTCTCCATCTCAGCCACCTGCTGGCATCCTATTGCCCCCTTTCTTTTAAGGCCCCTTGCTTCTTACTGGAGCTTTCTTATTCAGACTTTGCCTGATGAACTCCTCATCATAAATGTCTCCGCTCACACAGTACTCTGAACTACCCTATCCAAGGCATTTCCCAGCCCCAACCCCTCTCCCACATCATCCTGTGTTATGGACACTCCTGAAATTGTCTTGTCCACTAGAATGGAAGCCCCATGAATGGAGGGATCCTATATACAGCCTTTAACCCTGGAAACCAGTGCCCTGACCTGTTCCTAGCCCATGGCCGCTGCTCAACACATGATGTCCCCTAATGAATAAGACTGGTCCTGCTTGGAGCCCACCTGGTGATACATACTGTTGCTGCCCCATCCTTCCAGGGCAGACCAGTTGGTCCCCTACTGGCAGTCCAAGCCCAGGGCAGCTTGGAGGTTCAGGGAGTTCTCACACCCTAGAGCAGCCTCAGCAGTGACCAGAGCCTCCTTGCCCTGGCACACACTCCATACGATCTAGCAGACTTCCCTGCAGGATTGAATCCCAGTTGCCCACAGTGGCAACCTCTCACAAACGCATCTTATATTGGCTGCCTTCTCTTCCTTGTGTCACATCTCCATCCTCCTCTGGGACATTCTGGGTTCATCCAACACTGCTAGGGCTGCCGTAACAAATTCCAAGCGTGGTGGCTTAAAATGAGGGAGCTTGATCTCTGACAGTTCTGGGGGTCAGAAGTCCAGAATCAGGGTGTTGGCAGGGCCATATTCCCTCTGAGGGCTCAGGAGGAATCCGTTCCTTATTTCTCCCAGCTTCTGGTGGCTGTTGGCATTCCTTTGCATTTCTTGTTTAGTGACTTCATCATTCACTCCCTCTCTGCCTCTGCACATCATCTTGTCCTCTGTGTCTTTTCCTCCTCTTTTAGAAGGACTGTTGCCATTGGACTTAGGGCCCACCCAGGTAACCCAGAATGGTCTCATAGTCCTTATTGACCCCTGCAAAGATCCCTTTTCCAAACAAAATAACATTCACAGGTTCCAGGGATTTGGATGTGGACACTTCTTTTAGGGGTGACCATTCAACCTGCCCTAATACACTACATGCAATCAAATCTCAGGGTTGGCATCTAGGGAGCCAGGCCTAAGGTGGGTGATCTTAGGAAGCCACGTGTCCTAGTCTGAGCCTTGACTTTCTTGTTTCTATAGCTAGCAGACAAGCTTGATGGTTTTCTGGGCTCTTATGGTGATCTGGTTTTCAGATGCTTCTTGGCCAAGTGGAGGGGTGCAGAGATGCGGGATCCTGCCAAGTGGCAGCAAGGGGCTGAAACCCAGTGGTTCTATGGCTCCCAGGGAAAATTCCCACTGCTCAAACAAAGAGGCATGTGATCAACTGGTGTTGTGGTGAGATGATTCTCACCATCTGGAGTGCCAGGGAAAAATGTAATTACCATTTGTTTCTAAATACAAAGGAAGTGTTTAAAGGCAAAACACTCCAGCAGGAGTGTCTTTCACTTCTGGGAGCTTGGCTGGAATGCAGGCCTCCTGCTTGTGTGTCCTGCGTGAGGGAGGGGAGGGGTAACTCACAAGGGCTGCCTCCTGAAAGGCGAAACAGCAGAACCCAAAGGAGAAGCTCTGCTAACTGTGGCTGCTTGCTCTTTCACAATAGCTGAGTGGACTGCTCCAAGTGTGTGTGCGAACAGGAACAGAGACCCAAGCCAAATTCACCTCTGTGGAGCTGCTGAGGGAATATATTTCGGTAAGATATTGGTGCATCAAAGAATAGGGAAGGGTTAACTCTGGAAGGATTGAGGCAAATATTTTATCTTTTCAGATGTGAAAGGGATCTTTTGAAAAACCAAAATCTAACCAGTCATCCCTCTTCTTAAAACCTGCATTTATGATACAATTTAAAGTCCTTGCAGTTGTATGTGAGGTTCATTTTTTTTTAATGTCCCTAAGGGTAGTTTCTATATAAAGAAAAAGACAATTCAGTGGCTCACTTTGGTTTCCAAAAGTTAATATTTGATAGATTAAAGTTGTAAATTGAAAACAAAAACCCCAGTCGAACTATTTTTTAAAAAGCTTTTATATTCAACATACAAATGTTGCTATTCTTTGAAAAGAAGTCTAGCCAATTCTAGCAATCACTTTTAGGAGCCTTTGAATAGTGTTTGGCACCTTTACAAACTTAATTAAACACTTTTAAACATTTTAAGCTGCATTTTAAAATTTAATACATGCAGTTTTCTTTTTAGGTACTTCAGTGATCTGATTTAACAAACAAACCTTTCTGAGTTTGTATAAATCTAATAAACTAAACTTATAAATATAGTGAGCTTTAAGTTATCATGACAGCTCCAATGCCATATATAAGCGGCAAGCTTTTAACTTAAAATCATGTTAAATCAATTATTCAATTATACATTTAAATTAGAACCACAAACCCAAATTCTATTAATATTGTGAATACTTGAAACACCACATATGCAGATTTCTTAAACTAAAAATATTATTGTAACAGTTTGTTTCTCTTAAATGTTTTTATTCTTAATTCTAAATCTTTTAGGGATTACACACTCACTCTTTACAAATACAATTATTTTCTCAACTAATGAGATTGGGGCTGATCAGTCACCCCGATGGGACACACAGGCCCCTATTTCTACTTGTTAACAGGGACTTCACTTAAGAATGCTTGACTCCTGAATTAAGTTTTGTATTTCTTGGACTCTAAGGAAACTTGAATGTCCTTTTCCTGTAGCTCTAAAGACCTCTGAACTTGACATCCTGGATCTTGTCATTTTTCTGGCATCACAATGACTCTTGCAGGTACTGAAATGTATCTGATAGGATTCTGCAAATCTCAAGGCTCTGTCTGGATTTGTCACACAGTTTTAAGGCCACACTGCTGACATCTACCCAGGCCCACAAGACCCAGTGTGAGCTGTGTCTTGCTTGTTCCTCTAAGTCATACATCCCTTTATTCACTAAGCTCCAGCCAAGTGACTTTTCTCTCTATTCCTCAAACTGCCAGTCTTCCTCTGGTCTCAAGGCCTTTGTACTAACTGTGCTCCCTGGAAGGCCCTAGACTTGGATCCTCTTGTAGCTGGCATTGTCCTAGCATCCCAGGTCTCAGCTCCAAGGTCACATGCCTTCTTCAGACCTCAAGTACTTTTACTCTCCTTGTCCTCACTCACCACACAAGTCACTTTCTATATTCTATTGCAATACTCTGTTTTATTGTCTTCATTTCTGATTTTTATCCTGTTTATTATCTGATATCCCCACTGGAGTGTGTGTCCTTCTGAGTGCAGGGTCCTAATTGTTCTACTTCTACACCAGTACCTAAAATTGTGTGAATGAATGAATGATTGAATGAACTGAATAGAAAAAGCAAATGACTGTTAACTGTCATTGGTCATCGTCCTTTTCAGACCTGTGTTCCTGAATGCACTCATCCTCTCAAAGAGGGGACCTGTCCCAAGGACTGGCCTAGCCGTGGGGAGATAATGTTCAGAGACTATCAGATGAGATACAGAGCCAACACCCCCCTTGTTCTTGATGGGCTGAATTTGAACATACAAAGTGGACATACCGTTGGGATCGTTGGAAGAACAGGTTCTGGTAAGGACAGGTTCTGCATTTGTTTCTTTCAGGTTATTTTTTTAGAATTTCCACTGGAGATCCTAGTCAAGTCACACCACAGAGTGATGTGTGTGTGTGTGTCAGATTGGCTGTTATTTTCCTCAAATTTACTATAAAGTAGGATTTCAGGTTGAATGGGTATCTAGGGATGGAAGCAAACATACATCAGCTTTTGAATTAATTAAGTGAGAATCATTCTGGTGAAGCAAGACCCCGGAGATAAGTTGTGGGCTAAGGGCCACTGCAAAGATGGACAGGTTAACTGTGTTAGGCAGCCCTATCCCCTTCCCCCACCTCAGTAGGGACTTTCTGCACGATCATCCACACAGAGCCATTTCCATTGCATCAACAATTCCCTTAATTAAGTGTTTGGATATAATAGAAGCACAAACCGAAGTCTGATTTGTTGCTGTTGCTTTCGTTGCTCCCAGGAAAGACATCTCTAGGAATAGCCTTGTTTCGTCTGGTGGAGCCAGCTGGTGGCACGATCCTCATCGATGAGGTGGATATCTGCACCATTGGTTTGGAAGACCTCAGAACCAAGCTGACTGTGATCCCCCAGGATCCTGTCCTGTTTGTAGGTACAGTAAGGTAGCTGTTTTGATCATTGTGCATTCCTATTTTTGGAGAGTGAAATCAGACTGACCGAGAACTTTGTGGTGTCTGTCCCCAGGGCATGGCTGGCCTGGGGCTGTTCTGCCTGAGGGGAGAAAGCAGCATCCCAAGGGGCTCACAAGCCCTGCTGGTGCCTGTTTCTGAGTCAAGCCCTGGGAAGAGACAGGGATTAAGGCCCTGAGCATTGCATGTATTTCATAAACACACTATTGATAAGCAAAGTTCTTAAATACTCATAGACTGAGAAGATATCTCAGTAGTTCTAGGCGCCCCTAGTTTATGTCTGTGTCCTAGCATTCCATCAGGTTTAGCAATGGCCGCTCTGAAAAATATCCCATTTTGCACAATAAAATAAATGATTATGCAATGTATATAGTTATTCACTGGGAAGTAGGTTAATTTATTTTCACTGCAGAGTGAACAGGAGCTGTTTTAAATATGAGAACAGTAGGGTGGTAGCTTCTTTGGGGCTCAAAATCTGATGTCAAGGCCCAAGGAGAAAGTCACCATTCCTCAATGAGCCCAGTACAGTGGCCATCCCTCTAATGAGAGGGCATATCATGAGAGGGGAACTTCATCTGTATTTCCTATATTTAGAGCTGATCTTTATGTAGAGTTTCTTGTATGAAAAATGCATTCTACCTCTTGAAACAGCAGACTCACACACTACATCTGCGATGCTCAACCCTCTGCAAGGCCCTGCCTCTGAAGGCTGAGTGAATGGGGTGCCAGGATGAGCTTCTGGCTTTCTCTCTCTGCTAAGATTTGTATCAGGTCAACCCCACTCTTCTGCACAGGGCTGCTGAGAGGCCCAAGCATGTTTTTCTGAGTGTCCAGTTGGTGCTGCCTCTTGGCTTTACATGTCTCTGCCTGTCTTAGTAGTCTCTGTTTCATCACAGAGCTGTGGACCCTTGGTCTCAAGGCCTGAGGTAGATAATTTATAGAGTGCCACCCTGGGCTGAGCACTGCTCCCGGAGCATGAGATCATCGCATACTGTCTCCCACTCCCCCTCCCCGCATTCTGCAGAAAACTCACTCCCCTGTCCACCTTCTTGTCCTCACAAATCCAGCTCAGCTCCCTCTCCTTTCCTTCGTTGCAGGTACAATTTGGACCCATTTGAGAGTCACACCGATGAGATGCTTTGGCAGGCTCTGGAGAGAACGTTCATGAGAGACACAGTAGGTCTCTGGGGTTGTTGAGAATGAGTCTGCTTCCCAGCATCACAGCCCTAGATTCCTGGCCTAGGTTTAAATTTGAGAAGCACCTGGGCCAGCTCTTGGCCGGTTGTATTTGTGGGCACATAAGTCAGTAGAATACAATCCTAAGTTACTCTTATGATGAAAAGCAACAGTAAGATTCTGCAATCTGGGAAAGAGTTCTATGTGCATTATCTCACTTGGTCCTTACTACAATGCTCTGAGGTTGGTACTCTTATCACTAATTTTAGATGCAGGAAGTAAAGCTCAGGGAAGTAGCACATCCAGGCTAGTGTGTAGCAGAAGAGAGACTTGAACTCAAGCCCATTGGATTCCAGCACAGATGGAATGCCCCACTACTCTGCCAATGGGCTCATTTGCTTATCAGAACAGATTAACTACAGAAAGTGAGGTGGTATGGGATGAACTGGGAGTGCCAAATATGACTGTTGGAGGGGGCTGAGTCCTCTGTGGGGGGAACCCGTCCTATAAGAACTGCAGCTCCAGCAGGGTCAGCACGGGAGCATGACCACCTCTGCTGCCCAAGGGCATGTTTTCCACAACTAAGTGAGCATTTCCCAAAGCCACTTTGACTTGTCTTGCTGGATAAGTCAGACCTTGTCTTATCTTCCCCTGATGACTAGAAACCTCTCTGATCCCTTCTCTATTTTGTCCATGGAAATAGCAATCCTGAAAGCCACTTCCACTTGTTCGTGTGTTCTCTGGAACTGCATGTGCGCTGTTTACACTCTTCTGATGAGTTGGCTACGGGGCGCTCTGAGTCATACTGTGATTTTAAATCATTAACGTCCGCCTATTCCCTGGCTTTTTCCTGATCCCGTTTGCAATATTGAAATGATTGTTGTTTCACACTTTCTTCCCCACAGTAAAATAAAGCAAGCTGATGGATGCAAGGGAAGGGGGCAGTCAATATCGACGATGTAGGACAATTTTATAGATCATCAGCACAAATGTAGCATTTTCTGTGTTTTATAGATAATGAAACTCCCAGAAAAATTACAGGCAGAAGTCACAGAAAATGGAGAAAACTTCTCAGTAGGGGAACGTCAACTGCTTTGTATGGCCCGAGCACTTCTCCGTAATTCAAAAGTAAGAAAACAGCACGGAAAATGGATTGGTCAAATTCTGGATAGTTCCTGCAGCGCCACTAAATCCAGGAGACAGAGCCACGTGTTTATCTTTCAGCAAAGAGAGAGCAATTGAGCCATTTAAAAACTGATCACTTTTTCTTAAGACAAAGTCGTGAGGGGTAAAAATTGAAAAATAACAGCCATTTACAGCTATAACACCTTCCTCCCCTGAGCTTCCCTCTGGGAGGTCTTGCTTAGGTATTCACTCTGCTCTCCTAAGTGGGTTGAGTTTGAAAAACCTGCCTCTCAACTTTTTTCCTTTGTCTCTGAACAATTCTGAGTGGTGATAAACTGTACCCAGGAATGCTAGGATATGGGGACTGTAAAATGTATATCTATTTTTCTTAGTGACTTAGCCACCCCTACTTACTGATTCCAAGAAAGGATTATTGTTCCTTTAGAAATCTCATTCTCATCAAAAGTGTAACCCATTGTGTGTGTTCTCTAGACATGCGAATGTCAGGTGAAAGGGAGCCAGCATGTATTAGGTTCCTACTGTGGCACTACACACTGCTAAGTGGTTTATGTGTCACCTGCATTTCATACTCATAATAAGGCCTATCTCCCTTTCACACACAAGAAAGCAAACCTCAGAGAATAAGTAACTGGCCAATGTCAAGCAGCATTAGGGTAAGTTCAAGGGCTCTGATTTGTAAAACCAGATCAGTCCTATGATAGGCAGAATAATATTCCCCCAGCGCCCAAGGATGCCCATGTCCTCATACCTGGAACCCGTGGGACTTAGAAGACGTGATTATGTTAAGGATCTTGAGATGGGGAATGTATCCTGGATATAAGTGGGCCTGCTGTATTCACACGGGTCTCTATAAGAAGGAGGCGGAAGAGTCAGAGAAGGAGACGCAATGCCAGGAAGGGCCATGGACCGCAGAGTGCAGATGGCTCTAGAAACTGGAAAAGGCAAGGAAGCACTGTCTTCCCTAGAGCCTGCAGAAGGATGCAACCCCAACAATACCTTGATTTTAAGATGTCTGACCTCCAGAACTGTAAGATAATACTTTTGCATTGTTTTAAGTTTCTAAGTGTGTGGTAATTTGTTACAGCAGCAATAGCAAATGAATATAAATGCTGCTATTATACCTTATGCTGACTCATGTTAGCACAGTAGATAAACCTGCATGGCATTTCTTTCTGCCAGTTTGTGGGCTTAGAATAAGCCACTTGAAAAGAGGTGTAAAGGAAATACAATTTTGTTCCTCCAGCAAGTCCCTGTGAGGAAGATGAAGATGGATATTTAGTTCATTACTTTTCTACTTTTCTTCTTTTTGCAAAATAGAGCCCAGACTATAAATTTCCCTCTGGGTACAGCTTTGTCTTAGTATGACTTTTGCTTCCCCAACAGATCATTCTCCTTGATGAAGCCACTGCCTCCATGGACTCCAAGACCGACACCCTGGTTCAGAGCACTATCAAAGATGCCTTCAAAGGCTGCACAGTGTTGGCCATTGCCCACCGCCTAAGCACGGTTCTCAACTGTGACCGCGTCCTGGTCATGGAAAATGGGAAGGTGCAGGAAGCTCTTGTTGGCTTCATCTCCCCAGAGACTTCAGGAGTTTGGGCTTTATGGTGGGTGAATATTTTCAGACAATTTCAGTTCTTCTTCTCTGATTTTCAGGTGATTGAGTTTGACAAGCCCGAAGTCCTTGCTGAGAAACCAGATTCTGCGTTTGCGACATTACTAGCAGCAGAAGCTGGATTATGAAGGTCCCAAGGCTGATTTTAGAGGAGGAGGAGGCTGTGTGAGATGAGTAGGATGAGTCTGCGGGAGAAGGGCTGTCATCCCAGCAGGCAGCCCTGGCTCCAGTGCCTCCCACCCATGGAGTACAGGCTGAGCTGGGGCAGAGGTTATCTCCCTTCCCCATACAGCCTGTGCCATTTCACCTCACTTGGCAGATTTGGGTTGGTTCTGGGTGGTGAACAGAGACAGACAAAGCTAATGGGTTAAAAACTGCCGTTCACCTCTTAAAATCCCATGGGTCTCTCACGTGTCTCCACTAATACCACCCCAGCACCTGAGAATGGAGACATTATAGTTTTCAGTTAGAAACCGAAGTAAACAGAAAGGCAAAATGCCTAAGGATGAGGTTTACAAAGGTTTCCTTGCCTATTATTGGAAAGAAAAAAGCAGTTTCCTTCCCATTTAACTCCTACTCACTTCAAGTGGTAACCACACAGATCTGTAGCTTGAAAGAATGATTGTAGTATTTGGTCCAAAAAATTTTTAATCATAATTGTATGTTCCAATTGATCTATTAGACTAACCAGGAAAACAAAATGCTGGAGTTTCTCTATAAGTGACATTTTTATATCTTCTTTATTGGTCATTAAAACGCAGCAGGAAATTAAACTATCCTGACATGTTGCCTTGCAATTATTTTCCTGAAGATGTTCCAATTTCTGTACAATTTCCTCTCATAGACCCTTGTTGCCATCTCCCTTGACTCAGTAATAAACCCTCATGATTGCTTACCAAATAAAAGTCTTTCTTTCCAACCTCAAGTTTTGTTCTGATGGATGCAGTAAAGATGTATTCCCAGTAGCCCCAGGAGTGACGGCTGCTAATTCATGGTGACATTTGAGGAAAAAAAAAAAGAAAGTCCAGCAGGCTCTCATGTAGTATTTGTTAAGGGACACAATTAGCAGTTCTGGCTGTTTCTTATTCCTCTGTCAAATTTCCAGTGAAGTGTTCAGGACTTACATTCCAGCCTCCAGCTGAGCTCTAGACACAGCTCAGGGAAATATGGTCAGTAAAGTTTTCGTTAGACACCTCCTCCTAATTGCCCTTCTGAGTCTTGGTCACATTCTTGCCCATCCTTCTAGATGTGGAGGAAGTGCCTGGCACATAGGAGCACTCGGAAACACTTGTGGCAGGCTCGAATGACAGTGTCTGATGAACTTATTCAAACACAGCTGTGGAACCTGGCAGGCTCCCCTCCCAGGTGCGTTTGCATGCTAAGAGCTTAATCTGAAGAGGCTGAGGTTTCCAACAGACAGGCCAATAGCCAGCATCTCTAGGACTAGGGCGTGGAAAGTTTGCCTCCAATCAACATTCTCTGACTCTCCTCTGGCAGGGCCTGGGCAAGGCGTCTGCCTGACCAGAGGTGAGGCCGGTGCACCTGACCCAGTCCCGTGAGTCTTGTGAATGCGTTAATGCCCTGGCTCAGGTAGCTCCATAGCAATTGTGCAACAACTCAGAAGAATGTGGCTGAAAAGGACTTGGGCCAGGAGTTTCCTGGGCAGCTCCATGCCAAGTTTGGATCTTTCTATAAAGGGACACAGTGTATCTTTACGTGATTTGAGGTTTCCCCATGGTGCCTGACCCTGATTTGGGGTCATTAACCCCACATACACACGACTCCAGAGCAACTATCCCAGGCTGAGTGTGGGTGTCATCTTGACAGATGTGTGATGATGCCCTTGATATGGCAACCAGGCTGGCAGTATCTGCTGGCTGTGGGAATTCATGCCAGTTGTGCAATGAGGGGGAGGGATGCTTTATTTTCTACCAACTTGGCACCAGCCAGACAATCAGTCTGTGATTTCAAGGAGATGTTTTCATGAGGACAGGGGATGGGCTGCAATGAACCTCGTTGCTCATTCACATGCATCGAAGGATGAATCACCTACAATTCATCCTACGTTCTCTGCCTACACCCTTCTCGGCATGGGCAGAAGAGGATACCAGCATTGATCCTGACATCTGATGAGAGCTTGCAATGTGCCAGGCACCGTGATAAGCATTTTTCCATGAATTATTTTATTGAATCCTCACCTTACCCCATGAGATGGGAACTGAGGCTCACTGAGATTAGTAACTGCACATGAAGAAAGGGACAGAGACGAGATTTGAGCCCTGACCAACCTGAATCTAGGGGCCATATTCTTGCCCCTCCACAATAGACCCCCTTCCCCTTGCAGAGACAGTGAAGGTCATCAGCATCATGCACAGGAAGAGTGACTACTGGAGGGATAGTTGTTTGCATGTGCAGCGACGTGGAACATGCTCGGTGAACCCCTCCTCCACCCCACTCATTGATGCCACTGCAATGTAAGCCAGGGAGAGTCTCTGTTGAATAACAGCCATTAGCCAGTATTCTCCAAAATACATGCTTAGTTAATTTAATCCTCACCCTATCCCTGTGAGGCAGGTACCTGCTATGATCTGAATGTTTGTGCCCACCTCCTCCTCACCCCAGCCAAATTCATATGTTGAAACCTAATCATCAGTGCAGCAGTGTTAAGAGGTGGGGCCTAAGGGAGGTGATTAGGGAGGCCTAAGGGAGGTGATTAGACCATGAGGGTAGAGTCCTCAGGAATGGGATCAGTACCTGGAGGGAGCTTCTCACCCCTTATGCCATGTGAGGACACATAGAAGACAACATCCATGAAGAATGGGTTCTCACCAGACGCCACATCTCTTAGCACTGTGATACTGAACTCCCCAGCCTCCAGAACTGCAAGCAGTACATTTCTACATTTCTGTTTTTAAATAAGTTTGTTTACAAATTAACCCACTTGAGATATTTTGCTATATCAGCCCAGACTAAGATAGTACCAGTGTAACTGATGAGGAAGCTGAAGCACTGAGAAAGTAACTTGACCAAGGTCACCCTGCTAGTGAGATCTAAATCCAGGCAGGTTGACTTTAAAACATGTGTTCTTAAATTCAATGTTAATACTGCTGGAAACTTGAGATTCTTCTGGTGAGAAAGAGCAGTGTTCAAGGTTGTAAAGCCTGTGTATTGGTCAGGATAGACTCAGTTATGCTTCAGTAACAAGTGAACCCAGATCTCAGTGGTTTATTTCTTGCTCAGGTGAGCTATGGCTGTGTTTTTTATCCCCTTACTCTGCGACCCAGGCTGACAGCAGTCTCTGCTTGGAATATCACCAGTCTCGTGGCAAAGGACCGACAGATGTTGCAGTAATTGCTATGTGCCACTTTCCTCCAAGCTTCATGGGAAAACAAGTCACATGGCCACTCTTGAGTTCAACAGGGTGGGTCATGGTAGTGGTAACCCTCCTCTTAAAGGGAGGGGCACCACAAAGCACAAGGAGCAAGTTTATTCCTCCAGAAAGTTGTATAATCCTCCCCTTTGGAGGGGCAGCAAATATTTTGTATAATACTACAATCTACCACAGCCTGGGTTTGGGTCCTGGTTTGATACCAAGTGGCTGTGTGCTCTGAGAAAAGTAGCTTGCCCTCTCTGAGTCTTTATCTCCTCATCTATCAAATTTGGGGTTCAGACTTAGTGCTAAGGTTCTTTTTTAGTTCTGACATTCAATATAGGAGAAACAAAAAGGAGATATGAAAACAGTTTCTAGAGTATTAACTGTGGAATTTTAGTGCCCTTTAAATGTAATTAAATATTTTTCTTAAATGTTAAATTTGTGAAGTTGAACAAAGTTTAACCAAGTTTTGAGTCTTTCCTTAGTGTCTCCTTTGATGCTCATTAGGAAATAAAACATTCGTTGACATTTTATTCTCATTTATTTTGGTGCCAAAGCTTGGGTATGCTCTGATTTCATCTGCCTATTGGGTGATCTTATGCTCAATGTTATGATTAGAACCTCTTGAATATCCTTAGATATTTAGGCCACAGGCCAAATCCAGCTTGCTGCCTGTTTTTATAAATACAATTTCTCTGGAATGCAACCATGCTCGTTTGTTAATGCATTACCTGTGACAATTTTCACATTCCAGGCAGAGTTGAGTGATTGTGGCCAAATGTATACCCTCAAAACCCCAAGTATTTACTATCTTGGCCCTTTACGGAGAAAGTTTGCTGGCCCCTGGTTTTGGTCATTAGCGTGTGGTATGCTTCATGCTGGTTGTTGGGGTGGGTTCTAGAAGACATTTCCATCAATTGTCTGGCCTGTCTGTGGTAACTGAAGCCATGGCAGCCTCTTTGTGACCAGGGAGGAGGTGGATAGGTGCCTGGAGCACAGATACTTGCTATGACACTGAGCTGCTGATTTACCAACCCTACAGTCACCCTATATCTTGTCATGTTATAAAAGGATATATTTTCCTTATTGGTTAAGCCCGTTTGAGTTGGGCTTGCTGCTACTTGCAGCCACAAGCATTGTAAATAATGCAGAAGATTTGTGCTGTCCTCCTTCCTGGGAAGATGCAATCCTCACATGAGAAAAAGAGAAATTTAGTCCCTGCCCTGGGGGTTACACTGTCTTCTCCCAACCTAGATGTGGCCTAAACGAGCATTAATTCATATCTGAGCAAGGGGGGGGGGTCCCGATTCTCATCTCTCCCCAAAGCTGCAAGCTACTTATGAATACTTAGCTTGCCTTCCCTGCCTATAGCCCAGATCAGAAAGACTCAGAAAGAACTCACAGATTTTATTTTTGCTATTCAAGTGAACAGATCTTAAATTGGCCCAGAATTGTTGATAAAAACGTGAAATGTTCTTTGCTAAGAGCTGGAATCACTTTGGCCAGTACAGCATGATTTAAAATGAATTGAAAAATGCAGGTCAGTTTGGGGTCAGAAGGACGATCAAAGAAATCACTTTTCTTTTGGCCCTGTGTAGAAGGTCACCTCCGGGTGAAGCCAAATCAAGCATTAAAGTCTTCAAATAAATGCTGATTTCCATGGAGAGGCACTGTCTGGCTTTGTGATGTACACGTTCACGGCTTCTACTGAAAGCTTTCCTTATGCTGGGACCAGCATTCAAGGGCCAGACCAAG